ATATTGGTAAAGTATTTATTTCAAAAGAATCAGGTGGAAAAGAGACTTCTTTTAAATTATTAAAAAATAATAATTTTGATAAATATAGTAAACCTAATATTATTCCTATTGTATCATTAACAGAAGAAAGAAAAAAATATTTATATTCAAAAATTCGTCAATATGTAGATGATCCATATAAAGATATTTATTGTTCAAAACCTAAAGAAAATTAATTTTAATAAAATTTATTTATTTATTAATATATATTTCTTATAATTCTATTCTATTTTAATATTTTAAATAAAATTATACATTTAAACTTAAATATTTTATTTAAAATAAAAATATTTCTTAAATTCAAATATATTTTATTATATCATATATATCAGATTAATTAATTATAACATTTTTATAATTTATGTAGATCATTTCCTTTTTAAAATATCTATATTGAAGATCATTTCCAAAATCTATTTTTAGATTTATTATAAAAAATTTAAAATATCAAATTATTTATTTCAATATTATGTTAATATGCTATAAAAATTTAACTAATTAAAGCTAATGTATCCAACATTAATATAAAGTAAAAATTTTAACTTTGGTTAAAATGTCCCAGAACCTCATTTTCCTAGCTCACAACCCATATGATAAAATATTTATAAAAATAAATTCAAATATATTAAAATATATCAATACTTATCTATATTTGCCAAAAAGGTTTACTTTGGAGTCAACACAATAATTGCTATATTAGATATTTGGATTTTGAAAAAGAAGAATTATCATTATTTACTATACAATGTAAAAAAGAACTACAAACAGAAAATAGCAGTAGTGACTTACCTAATTTAAAAGATTATAATCAAAGCTTAGCAACTTAGATTCATCAAATCGTTTAGCATGGTACTACTTATAATTTTATATATCTAATAGCATACTATGAAATTGATACTTTTACTACTTATGAAATTAATAAAATACTTTTTTAACTCATAACTAATCTTGAATATATTAGTATTTATACTTGTTGATCTATTTGTGATAAAGCTGAAAAAATAGGAATTATATTAAAAGTTTTGACTGATAGGCTTCTTTTTAGTCTATATATAATATTGTTGAAGTTAATATTGGAAAAAATAATTATAAAAAAGCAAAAATTATAGCAACAAATGGGAGGCAGTCAGTAAAAAAAGAAGGAAATCCAAAATTTTTATTAAATTTTATTATAAAGCCAAATTTGTGCACATGATTAAGATTAGCCAAGTGGTCTAATAATATAAATTTTTATCAAAATTTAGATTTCCCCTTTTCTACTGACCGCTTTCCAAATATTAATCATAGTAACTTTACAGTACATATGATTAATCCATTCTTTTCTAATAAAATTCAGGTTAATTGTGAATTTTTAAAATCAGTAAAACCTACTGAATCAAGTTAGAAAGTTAATGATTCTTGTAAATTTAGAAATTCAAAAGATAATAAATAGCATAAAGCTATTATTACAAACCTTGATTCTAAAATACAAACTTTGTTATTATTATAATATTTACCAAGAAGAATGGAAAATAGAATTTAAATATCTAAGTAATTATATTAGACCTCTTTATAATAATTAAAGATGAGGGACGAAACTCAAAAAAGGCAATTAATAAACAGCCGAAACTATTTTAAGATATAGTGAAGGGTACGACAAAACCCTGAAACCTGAAATTAGCCAAAACTATACTAAAATATAGTAAGGGATATGACAAAATTATTTTGAGGGAGTTTTGGCTGGCATCTTTAATAATAATACAATAAATTAGATGAATCATAAAATAATTAATCTAATTGTTAATATACCATAGTTCTTCATTAGTGATCCTATACATGTTTTAAAAAACTTCAGAATAAATCTTCCAAAAGTCATGTTAGAGAAGATAATGGTTGAAATGCTAGAAAGATTATGATAGATGAAAAAAAAGTTAATTAATATCATATTCAAGGTATTTATAATTATACTTGTCAAAATATAATAATAAAAATTATACGACTTACTAAACGTAATATTTGACTTACCTTCTGAAGTAAGATAAGATTAATTTTGCTAAGCAAACTTTGTCAAAAGATGTTAAATATGTTATAAAAAGGATTGATGAATTAAAAGAAATTTTTACAGGAATAAAAGTAAGCAATATAATTAGATATTAATATAATATATATATATAAAACAATAAATATTAAAAAAATTCTTATTTAAGAATTTATAAAATATTCTTATCTTTATCGTCAAATATTTTATAACAGTAAACTTTGGAAAATCTTACTGATATTCATCTTTAAACTTTAAAAGAAATAATTAATTAGTTTATAATTAGAGATAAATAAAAACTGATACAATAAATTAGATTTCATTACAATGCTTGTTTGATTTTTTTCGTCTGTTTAGAGTTTCTCAGAATAGTAAAATAAGTTATTGCATTAAATTCAAATTCAACTATTATATTTTATAGAGTATCACAAGATATGCTTAAAGGTCTATTTGATATAATTCAATAGCTTAGTAATAATTCTTTCACTCAAATGTTAAAAAGATATAGATATACATTGAATAAGTTTGCAAGAATAACTGCTGAAATAAAAAGCCTAAATAATAGAAAATCATATCATACTAGAATGAAGTTTAATCATCTTTACTAATAGTAAGTTACTGATTATAAGCTATTTTTAAAAAATATATATACTAATTTTTTTAATTATGACAATAGTACAAGTACAAAATCATCAAAGAATAATATATATCCTATCTTATTAAGTAATAATATATATCTATTGCATCTATTTAATATGATTCCTTTTATATGCTGAATTTTTAAAGGTCTTCTCCAAAATGATTTATTTATAGGAAGAGTTGAAATTTCAACTTCTTTCAGTATTGATGTTAATCAACAAAATCAATAAGATTTGTCTTTTTAAGGTAAATGACAGCAATTCTTCAATATATTACTCAATATTAATAGAATTGTTTCTTTGTTAGAAAATTGAAAAAAACAAACATTAAAAATGTTGCTTTGAAATCAATTCCTAAAAAAGGAAGCCTTTAGATGACTAAGTGGATTTCTCATCTAAAAATTAACCTAAATAACTATCTATATTCTGAAATTTAGTTAAACAATTTCAAGAGTTTATTATTTCATGAACTCCATTAATTACACAAGGTTAGTTGTATATTTTCTTATTTGTAAAGTGATAGATGAAACATTTAAAGGAGACTTTGATAATAAAATCATACAAGAAAAAGCAGACTTTACTTTGATTCTTAAAGATATTATCACTTTAGATCACATAAAAGCTTTTAAATTTTTTTACATTATTAGCTGGGCACTTTTTAAGTTACTTAAAAGAGATTATGTAATGAATTCTCATCCAAAATTTTTTATTATATGCATTTCACTTAGAAATCTTTGTACAAAAAAAGTTGAATATGTGCCTGAAATAAAGATGGTACAGCAATTGATTTCAAATTTACAAAATGTTGCAACATAAGCTAAAATTAGTTGCAACATATGTTGCAACATTATAAGTTGCAACATATATAGGTTAAAACTAATTGCAACGTAAGTTGCAACATTAAAAGTTGCAACATATTAATTACAGTTCTCATCTTTAATTAGAAAGATATTTTTAGCTTTACCATTAACACAGTCTGAGCCATTATCTTAGTGGTATTAATATGCAAACAAATTTTTGATTTTATCAAAAATGACACATAATTATCTTGCTATTCAAGGTACTAGTATATCAAGTAAACAAGTATTTTCATTTGCATCACATACTATAACAAAAGTCTGAAATCGTCTTAATCTTAATATAGTTTGTGTTTCTTTATATTTGAAAAGCTAGATAGAACAAAATGCTGATTCAGTTAATAATAAAATTGTTTGAACTTGAAAGATTCAGATGAATATTTAAAATTAGTAAACATAGTTGAAAATTTGTTAAAAAGAAAAATTAAATTCAATACAACAAACTACTATAAATCAGTATTTTAATTAATAATTAATTATTAAAATACATATAATAAAATAATGTTTTTGAATAAACTTATTTTTTATTTATTTATTTTTTAATAAATATAATATAAAATTTTTTAAAAATATCTACTTTCTATAAATATACATTCTTTATAAATGCACGTTTATTTTCAGTCTCAAGGGGAATGCATTTATAGAGAGTTGACTGTATATTGATTTACATCCATATTATATATAATATTCTTTGGAATTGTATTTGCTATAAATATAGGAATAGCAAGAATGGTAGTCATATGGGCAACAGAACTAGTAGAAATAGTTGTTAGCATTTTTAAGTTATGAATATTATGATAATTATCAATATTTATAATTATTGCATTATTCTGATATTTTAAAAACTCTTTTATAACATTATCCCTATAAATTGAAAATATAGCATTTTTTTCATGCTGATTTTCTCTTGATGTAAAACTTAATTTCATATTAGATAAGGAATCAATAGCTTAATCTGATATATCTAAATGATCTAGAAACATTTCAATACCTTTTCTTAATAAGCTAATATGTTTATTTTCAATTCATGTAAAGAATTAACATAAAAAAGAAAGCCCTTTCTGTATTTGTATAACAGTTTGATCCACAAGACTCCTACCACTTGGATGGATCAACTTTTTAAGTATATTGAAAATGCTCTAAGATTAGGATCCTTATACTCCATATTTATTTTGAGTAATTTCCAATCATAAATTGGCAATTCCTTTTCTTTTTTTTCTTTTGCATAAAAAAATCTGTACTATTAATTTCACATTTTCAATAAAATATATTTTACTAACTCTCTTATCATCTCTTACCTCTAATGTCTTTTATTCCAAGTCAATATCTATTATCAATTCAGGTTCACCATCATGATCAATTTCCATAATCGTAATATCATCTAATTTCCTTTGTCTTTTTAAAGTTCCTCTAATATTACTATTTACAATATATTTCATATAATGATTATGACAAAACTGTGTAATGTCTAATTATCAGGTAGTATTCAAAGTTTTATGTTGTAAGACTTTGTGTTTAGTATCTTCTGTAAATCTCCGAAACTTACATATGGTCAAATAAGTTTCTTCTGCAAATGCTGCTTTGAAATTTCCATTATAATATTCAGAATTGCTTATTTTAAAATATCTGATTAGTTTCTTTAATATGTTGTAAATGACGTCTATGATATCATTACATAAAACGATTATCAAAAAATCTGACGCTAATATACTACTTTAAACTATATAAATAGTTACGTTATACATTTATTGTAACAGCCAATTATGCAAATGTCCGGTATGCTCGTTTTTACTAGTCTATGACTCATGTTTCAACTTCTCCAACGTGGCCTGTATTTTGCTGATCTTATCTAAATATAGTTAAATTAGTTTTCACAAAAATTTTGTTTTAAATAAAACAAATTCCCTTCAACTTTTTTATATAGGGAATGTTTGCACGCTCTACAAGTTTGCTTAGGGTCAAAAGTGAGGTTTTAAATTCTATTTTTTAACTTACATATTGTATTTTTAAAAAATTACTTTATAAAGAAATCTGTATTAAAAACATCAATTTCCTCTCTAAATAAACTTGTAGAGAAGATAAAAATTGCGATTTTAGAATCTGCGTAGTATCTTTACCAAGTCTTATTCAAAAAAAATAAAATCAAATATTTTTTCGTTAAAATGTATTACCTATTTTTGGAAATGATCAGCAAATTCAGATCACGTGCCGGTGATTTTTTGGTGGTTACGCTGGGGAAATCAAATGTTTCGATCATAAAATAAGATAAAAATCTAAAGTTGGTAATCTGACAAAAGATAAATTATTTTTTATTTTATTATTAATCAAATTAAAATGATAAATAAACCTATTATAAATATAAATAAAGATGGAGAAAAATATTTCAATCTATGACAAAATTTTTGTTATTCTATTCTGTAGCGAATAACTGATGTATGTATGCTATGCATAAGGTGATGAGTAAATCTAAATAAATTGTTCATTAAAATTTATTATCCTTCTATCCTTTCAATCCAAATTTTTTATCTGATTTTTAGAGCAATATCCTTGGGCTTATTGTTTGCAAAAAAATATTCACAAACAAGTTCAATTGACCACGCAACGCTATAATCCAGCAACATAGTGAGCACAAGGTAAACTTTAAACTATAAAAAGCGAAATATATAAATAAATTAGCAAAAAATAAATTAGCAACTAATATTTTACAAACAAAAAAAAATGTAAAAGAAAATATTATAATAAATACTTCAGACGTAAGTGGAACCAGTTGTAGAAAACTATTTAATTCGGGAACAAATTCAATGGCTCCAGCAAAAGCAATTCCTGCAACTGAAACTAAACCATAAAAAAGTGCTTTATTCTCTCTAAGACTCTCTCTAAAAGGATGTCCCTATTTGATTTATTATAATATTCAATTAGTACGTTTCTAAATTAATTATATCTTAGATATAAATTAAACTATACCTGAAAATTGATGGCAAATGTTGAAACTTGCATAGACAACGATATCAAATATACTGCTGTGTTTAATAAACTTGGTTCGAATTCGCCTTCCAAATCAACAGGCTTCTTTCTAATGAATTAAAGAAATAATATTAATTAAAGAGAATCACCAAATTTATATTATAAGTTTATACATACTCTTCATGTTTAAATACTAAATCGACTATATAAATTAATGAAATAATATGAATTGCAAATTGACCCAATATGGAAAGGATTATATAGAAATTAAAGATATTGGTTTGTGGTCGTTGTTTGCTAAGTGTCTCCAAAGGCTAAAAATAGAATAATCTAGATCATTTTAATAAAAGACATTATAATCTTGTAATAATAATAAGTATAATTCACCTTAGCCTTAGAAATGCAAAGGAAACAAACGGCAAGTAACATTCCAGAAATGGTTGCTTGGCTGATAATAGCAAAAAATATTGATATTACAAATAATTATAAAAAAAAATAACGAATAAAGTGAGTAAATAACTTACCCATCACCATATTTAATTCCATCTAAATATAACACACTAAGACTATAGGCCGAAATTAAGCAATTCAGGGCCAAAATTTTGTACATCTGTATAGTTGCGACAAGTGTACATCGACCTTGACGTATAATGTTTGCGACTGAAAAATGAATGAAATTGGTTGATAATTATGATTTAACATTGAATAAGCTTTGATTATATGCAAATTTAATCCTTACTGGCAGAAACATTTGAAAGTTTCGAAGTAAAATGAGCAGCAAAAGATGCATCTCCAAATTTAATGCTTGGAGGTTCATCATCAAAGTCTTGTAGTAATTGTTCGGCAATTTGGTCAACTCGTGGAGGTGCACGTCTCGCTGGATTTTGTTGTTGCTGTTGCTGTTGTTGCTGAGTAATATGTGGAAATAAGTGAGCAATCGCCGGTGGTGGCGGTGGTGGTGGCATATTGAATCGTGCAGTGAATTTCAGTTGGTTCTCATACATATCCTTAAGTTGTTTCATACGTCGACGTTCGGTGATTTTTCTAAGATCTTCTGGTGTGCCGTTAAGCAATGCAACACCTATATGAGCCTGTTTTAGAGCACCCACATCATTTGTACCATCACCGACCATCAATGTAGTGTACCCGGCTTGTTTAAGACCAGTTAATATAAATTCCTAAATAATGTAATTATTAGAATAATTTATAAGTAAAATATTGCATTGGGAATTAAATAATTTATAAATTATTATCGAAATATGAATAAACCTTTTGTCCAGGTGACACGCGAGCATATATCCATGTATGTCTCAACAACTCTCTAACGGATGGTCTGCTTTCATATTGGGACAATGCAGCACCTGTTACGCAAATATCATAATCACGGAATACTGATCGTTCAATTGGTTCGGTAGGATTTACAGGTATCATGATTTTCTCATCAACCGACTTCCATACAAGCTCTATTTGGTATTATATTTAATAAAATGTAAAAATAAAAATAAAAAATTTGATAATAAAAATTATATACCATCCGGGCTTTTTGCGTCTTCTTTAATATCCAATATCAAAACATCTCTATCGATAATTTCCACTTCTCGAGCCACATGACAAGCAGTTAAAGGATTGTCACCAGTAATCATTATGACCTAAAATTCGAAGAAAAATAAATAAAACACAAACATCTATAATAATAAAATTGATGTACTGTATAATTAACATACTCGATGTGATGAATCGTTTAGCATTTTAAGAGTGGAAACAGCATCTTCCTTCAGTGGACAATGAAAAACAAGGAACCCTGCAAAATTAAGTTCGCTTTCGACATCTTCACGTAAAAGATCGTTAATCTAGGTTAAATATACAATTATAAATATATGATAAAGGTTAACATTTGAAACATCACATTCATAGTATGCTTATCAATACCTTATCAATAGTCATGTTATCCTCCAAATATTTATAACCAAGGGCCAACACACGACTCCCACGTCGAGTGAAAAACTTGAAGGTCTCCTCATAATCATCAGGCGCATAAATGTACATCTGACGAAGAGTTTCGGGAGCACCTTTAACAGCAATAAATGTTTTTTTCCCTCGAGGCGTAGTCACTGTGGATACACTTGACATACGTTTGAGAGCCGACGAAAATAGAAATCGACGATGTATTTGTAATTGCGATCTCGATTGAAATCTTTGAGATAGTGGAATTACAGTGTCACCTTTTAAACACAATATAAATATTTGATATAAATGAAATGCACGTGATAAACAAAGCATTAAAAAAATTTGTTAATATACGTTTATTTTTATCAAGTTTCCATTCCAACGCTTCTAATGTTGCTTTTTCCATTGGATCACCAACAACCTCATCATCGTCATCTAATCGAGCCAAAGCGTGCGCCGTTGCAAGTGTTTGAATTGTGTCCCGAAGTGCATCTGGAGGGTTCACCAGTTTCTTAGAATCCTCGGGGCTAAAAATTAAATAAACGTTAGTCTGATATAATTGAACAAAATAAAAAAATTTCTTGCACGATGACAAATATATATCTACATACTGGATTCCAGCAATTCCTTCGACCACGAGATTTTCTCTCGTTAAGGTACCAGTTTTGTCGAACGCGCACACATCAACTTTACCAGCATAAGGAATTCTAAATGGCTCAGTACAATAAATAGCTAAATATATTATATATTCAGTTAATTCGTCTGAATAGATTTTTTGTTTAAAAATTATGACATGATTTATCGTATACTACCAAACTTAGATAATGCAACCAGAGAGGTGTTAACTGCTAAGGAAAGTTCCATTGGCAATTCTGGAGGAACGACTGATGTTATAATTAAAATACAATCAAGTAATAACTTTGATCTCTTGCGATCATTTTCAATACCTAAAAAAAGGAGACCAGGTCCGTAAATCATCAATTAATAATTTGAAATTCATCGCGCAATAAAAACTTACCCTTAATCCAAACATATCCAGCTGCAGTAACAGCGAATATCAACAAAAATATAATAAAGAAAAAGGATTCAAGATTGTTTGCAGATACGTGTTCCGTGCTGTAGACCATTGTGCGCACTAGTTTACCCTGCTTAGTTCCGAATCCAGTACGAAGAACATAAGCAATACATCCATTATCCGGAGGAGCTGTAAAAACAAATTTGATTCTTTTAAATTATAATTTGAAATAAATAACTCCTTAGTAAAATCAAATCAGTTAGCTAACTAACATAATGTTGTCTCGTCTTTAGAAGGAGGAGTAATTTGAAGAACTTTGGTACCACCAAATAATTGACTATATTTATCTACAACTCCACTAGTGTCAATCACATCGTTGCCGTCTCGGAGATGTATTGATTCCTTAAAGATCGATATTTTATGAAATTGATATAATAATTCATGAACATTCATATTGATAAAAGTTAGAATTTATATCCATACCTTCAATGATGGTGTAGACTCTCCAGTTAACAAGGCCTCATCAACTATACAAGTACCATTCACAAGAACCATATCACATGGAACACCATTATCTTCCTTAGAACGTACTATATGTTAAATAAAATAAGTATGCTGCTGTCAAATACAATTATGGAAGCATAAGGTGTCTAAAAGGGTATATGTGACCAACCTATAGAAACCAGATCACCGGGCAATAACTCATCCGAATTAACGGTCACCCAACTACCTTTTCTCCTTACATGAATTGGAAAAGGTATGAATGACATTGATCGAAATTCGGCTAGTGTCTTCAATCTCTAAAAAAAAAAAAAAAAATTTCGAAATATTTTTCGTTAAACGTAACTATAAAAATCAATATACAAAATTGATTATCTCATATATATAAATATATATACCTGAAAGACGACAGTCGACTCAAACACTACAAGCATGACTAGCGTAAATAATGAGTAATACCAATATTCATCCATAATCCAGAGACCAACACAAAATATTTGGAAGACGAAGAAAGGAGCAACAGCGTGTTCCTTGAACAATTCTCGAAATGTTGGTACCGGAATATCAAACCTAATAAATAAATATTATTAGTTGCGAAATAAATTATTTAAGATAATATATGATCTATAAGATATTTAAACCTGTTAAACCCATATGTTTCTTGAGCTGATTTAATGTCATTAGCAGTTTCGAGACCGTTAGCATTCTGAAAAGTTGAAACAACATAATTCTGATCGGCGGGATAACGTAATCTGTTAAACATTTTTATATCATTATCCCACACGTATTTTTTCTTTTGGTAAAAAAATGAAATTTCTCCGTTCTTAAATTAAATCAAAAGATTTGTTAGAAAATAATCGCCTTATATAAAAAATTAAATTACGATATCATACCCTTTTGTGATGTAGTTCACATAATTCACCTTTCCCTTTATGTGGTGCAGGAAGAATTTTGATAACTTGGGCCTTTCGGACATCATTTTGCTGTAAAATCATAAAAATTATTTAGGAAAAAAAAAATATCAATTATCAAAAAAAAAATATTTAAAAATATTTTTATTCATTTCGAGTACGATACTTACCTTTGTACATGTAAAAAAAGCTTTTGCCCGAATACTCCAGTGACAACTCAGATATATTAACGCATTAATTGTTACCAAACTCGTAATAGACAAAAATGTCCATTCAACCGATCCGATATACTCTTCATAAGCATTATAATATATATATAACCATATACTGTATGGAATAACAAAATACCATACATATCCATGCAAAACAAATGGTTTTCGTATATGCAATGAAGATTGCACTATTGATTTTGCATTTACAATGTTCTTAGAAGCCCTAAAATAATATTCTTTTTTAGAAAGTGATATATATAACTGAAGAAAGTAATTATAAATAAATCCTACATTTTCTATTAATTTTATAAAACGTTCAAACTTCAATAAATTAATAAATACTATAAAATAAAGAAAATAAAATTATCAGTTATAAAAGAACATGTTCTTTTTCAAAAAGTTTAGATCTAAAACTGAGATTTTTTTTTTGAAATTAAATAATCATGAGCCTGTGAGAGAATTATAAAGTCGCATTTATTGACAAATTGTGGAATTTTCCTATTGGCTCGATTATACAAAAAAATGATGATCAAAAATGCGATTTATTTTCGATATTTTAGACATTTTTTAAACATAAGCGAAAGGTCACGAGGCAAAGAATATATTTTTCTTTAATAAATGAATGACGGATAAATATTATTTTATTGTGTTACATTTTCATAAGCTATACCACCAAGATTTTGTGCGATCTTTCCCGATACAATTTGATCAAACCAATGTCTTTCCGCAACAAATCAATAGTTTTTTTTAAGATCATCATTTAACAAACTAGAATCTAAGATATCTGTATTGGTGAATTGTCGATAAAGGCCCACGGCTGTATCATACAACGATTTGTCTTTTTCAGGATCAAAAGTTGTCGCAATTGATGGATCCTCCCTAGCCAAGTTAATCATACGATTAACGTACTATAAAAATTATAAAAATTGACCAAGATAATCATAATATATATACTAACTTGATATAAACATTATCGTCGAATTGTGAAATCGTTACTTGAGATGAACGTTTCAAGCCATCAAAGCCCGAACCAATTAGATGTCCAGATCGAAACGACGGAACTTCAGCAGAGTATGGTTCGTACCCGTAAAATGAAGATTGTCCTGGTAACTTTGATGGGCGGGGCGTTGGCTTTGTATCAATCGGAGGGGTTGAATCCAATTTCAATGGTTGCGCTTTAGGTTTTCTTACTGGAGTTGTTTGTGCCAAGATTGACATTTGTTTGGTAGAACTTGGAGACCGAATAACATTACTTGAAGTTTCACGATAGGACTGATTATTAAAATAAATGTTAAAAATTCAAATCATGAGAGCTAAACATAGATTTTCACTGAAATCAATGAAAAAGTTATATAACATACAGTTAATATGTCTTCAGTAGGAGCTATTTTCTTCCCTCCAACGAGGCCAGTCTTGTTAAACTTTTCTTCCTCTCTAACCTTGTCAGCCCCTTTCGAAGAAGTTTCAAGTTTAATACGAAGGTTAAAAATACAACTAATATCTTTCCTTGTATATTACAAAACCTTCAGTTTTGAATGACAACGGGTATGGTGCTGGAACAGATCCTATTCCACCTAAGGACCATGCTGATGTTGGTGGAGTAGATACGGAACTGGCGTGTTTATATCTAGCGTAAAGTGAATCTTGAGACATTTAATAATTTTTTGAAGTTGTTGTACTAACAAATTCTCTATATACAGTATATCACCTAATGAAAATGAGAGTGGTTGGCATCTTTTATTCATTTACTGAAGTTTATATATGATAATTTTGGATGAGAGTCACGTGACCTTATAATATGTGCGACATGCATCATCAAGAATACACGTCATACGTCATTCAATCTTTCGTTTTGAGAGACTTGATGCTTGCCAATAATACAACAAATTGATTAGAAGCTTTCCAAACTTTCAAAAAATATACTTTTCGATCTTCCGAGTGCACATCGCTACCATATTTAGTTGGACGAAGTATTTAACCAAAAGAATCATTTTTCCGTTTCATTTGATCAAAAGAACTCAGTGAAGGAAATTGACTCAGGTACTCGTGATCAAGGCTCATAAACGGAGTGTATATGCAGAGGCTATATGGATAATAAATACGTTTGATTAAAATACTTTAATTACCAAAAGATATGATCAAACGTCTTTTATCACGTGTTACTTACAATTTATGATGTCATTAGTCCTGAGCGAAGGACTATATCTTTTGCGCTCTTTTACACGAGACGTCCGGCTGACGATATATCGAAGTTTTTACTTGAAACGCAATTTAATACCAAAATTTTAGGGGTTGCACAAAATCTTTCATTATTCAAGCAACTTTCCATCCATCCATCCATTCATCAATAATTTAATTTTTCGCGAACAAAATCATCCTTATTTATTCTTAAATTTCTAAATCATACTATCAACAATTGCTAAAGTACTATTAGAAATTAATTATCAATCCATAATTTTAATTGATAAATAAAAGTATATTTTAACAAAGACGGTTCAATAATCAAACATTTTTTGAATTACTTTCACCATCATCATAATGAAAGAAGCAAACAATTAAACCACCTTGATTCAAAAAAAAAAAAAAAGGTTTCATTAGATGCTAATAGATTTTAATATATCATCCCTCTCTCTCAAGTGTATATTTTCTGTAAAAAATAAAAAATTATACATTATACCTCAATATTAAAAATTCAACTTTTCACTCTTTCCGAAACCGTCCTAGTTTAGTACTCCCATAATTGGGATAACTGATTTGATTTTCAAAAAAAAAAAAAAAAAAAAAAACGCTCTTTTTCTCCAAACCGTTATTTTCATGGATTCATATGAAAGTACTAGTTCGATACCAAATTTAAACGAGGATTATGCAGAAGTTAATTACGACCAGTTAGAGGAATCTCTGACACCTCCTCCCTTGGACCTTTACGGCGTTCTCAACGTTTCTAAAGAGGTATCCAACATTTCTCATGTAAATCATAGTAAACGTGAAAGATTTATATCGATAGGTTATTTTTTCAATTAGGCAACTGAAGAAGAAATCAAAGATGCTTATAAAAGATTATGTAGAACTTTTCACCCAGATAAACATGTAAACCCAGAAAATAAGAAAGCCGCTGAAACAAAATTTCAAGTGATTCAAAAAGCTTACGAAGGCAAGTTAAATTCCGAGGTATAATTTACCTTTTAGATTTTAATACAAATTTTTTGTTATTAAAGATTCAAAGGGCTTATATACCTTACATTATATTTACTTGTTCAGTCCTTACGGATCCAAATAAGAGAATCGTGTATGATATGTTTGGTGAAGAAGGATTAAGTACTTCTTGGGAGGTTGGACCTCGTTTGAAAACACCACAAGAGGTTGGTATATGCAATTCTGTCATTTTTAATTGATTTTTTTATATAAATGGAGCACATATTAGCTAACTTACCAAATAGCTTAGAGAAGAATTCGAAAGACAAGCTAGATTAAAAAGGCAACAAGAAGTTGAAAATATGATCCATTCAAAGGTAAAAAATTATTATTAGATTATTATTATTATTATTATTAATTTAACAAAATTTACTAAAATCTATTGCGTTTTATTAGGGAGATATTCAATTAAGCATAGATGCAACGCAGGCATTTAATCCTTATGATCGTCGTCGAAATCGACTCTCCACATTTAATATGAAAAACTTTTTTGAAAATACTGAAATAACACAACTTAATATGAAACACTCTTTTGAAGTACGATTATTTTATTTTAGGTTGTAGTATTTGTTAACTTTATCAATTGAATTTATTTATTGTTTAATATATATAACAGACTCAATTACGACCACAAACCCAAGTAGTGATAATTGGCCAAACCCTTCTACGTAATGGAATAGGTGGTGGTAATATTGTCGGGACATTGCGGCATTCATTTTCGCCAAAAATTTGGGCCGAAGTATGTTGGAAAATACCGTGTATTTATTTACTTGTACTTTGTTAATATATATTTCCAACGAGTTGTTGAAATAAGATGGACGCAATCGTCGTATTAGGTCGGATCTTCTATAATTCAACCTAGAGTTATGTCCGCAAAGGCCTCATATAGTATTGATGAAAACAGGCATGTATTTAAAAAACAAAATTTATGAGTGCAAAATTGTGAAAATTCAATTTCTAAAATATATTCCACCCCTTTTAAAAAGCTTTATCATTGTTTCGGCTCATTCGGGTTCTATTTATTCTCCACCAAATTTGGTTTTTACAGGTGGCCGCGTATTAGGGAAAAACGTTACTGGGTATAGAAAATGATACATAAATATATTATATATTAGTTTAATTTAATTTTATGACTTAATACTTTGAATGATTGATTGAACCATAGGTATCTCACTTATAAAACTGGAGCATGGTCGTTAGGTCCCTGGAGAGCAAATGAATTGTATTATCGACGCGAAAGGTCAGCAGTTGCTATAAGCATTAGTGGTTCCTATGAAAAGTCTGGATATAATTTTGAAATACAGGTATGCATGCATCATAAAATATATTATTTTTCTAAAAAGAGCATAAATATTAACTTTTTTTTTAATTAATAGACTGGGATTGCGCAATCTTATATTTCATTACATTATAATCACAAACTTTTTGACGATTATCTAGTTAAAACATCAACTACATTATCGACTACTGGTGGTTTGACATTAGTTTTATTGGGAGAACGTAAAATTACTGAACATACAAAAGCTTCATTGGCAGTTGAATATGGATTTCCTCATGGGATAACTTTTAAATGCAGGTGAATTATAGCATTCTTAATTCTTAATTCATATGATAATTAATAATATATATATTTAGGTTGTCTCGATTAGGACAAAGAATCTCTATACCGATTCTTGTCTCACCGGAATTCAATTTCAAAATAATTTTGTGGGGAACATTTCTACCGATTATAACAATGGCTGCTGTTGAACAAACAATATTAATACCTATGCGTCAAAAGAAAAAAGCCGAGTTCGTATAATCATCATTAATCATTTATATAAGATTTATGATAGAAATTGATATTAAGATCTTGTTTATTAATCAAGAAAAATAGCAGCTTTTCGAGAGCTCCATGCCGAGCTTATAGAAAATCGTAAGAGAGAAGCTACAGAAGCAACCCGTCTCTTATTACCTTCAGTGGAACGCAAGACAGAGATGGAGAGAGAAAAGGATGGTCTAGTGATTCTAGAAGCTTGGTACGGCAATGTTTCAAGTTTAAATGGAGAAGTTCCTTTAGAGGAACGAAGTGACGTTATTGATGTCAAAATACCAGTTCAAGCTCTTGTACATGAATCACAATTAACTATTCCAGGAAGATATTCGAAGGTAAAGTTTAAATTAATGACTCAAAATGTTTTATAAATTATTAATAATCTTTTTATTTAATATTTTGATAGTCCAATATCATGGGATTTTACGATCCATGTATGGGAGAACGCAAACAATTAAAAATCAGGTACCAATTCCAACGTAAACTTCATGAAGTTACAGTGGATGATACATCTCCTGTTGCGTGTCCTTTAAGATGTAAATTTTCAATTTTTTGTTGTTTCCTCTCTTTATTTTATGCCTTTGACGCTTTAAATATACTAATTTCATTTTAATCAACAATTTCTTTTGATTGCAGCTCACATTATACCATAATAAAATATTTATGTTGGTATTCCTTACATAATAAGTATTTTTTTTTTTAATAAAGTTTTTAATCCTCGGGAAACGAGTCTAACCACGCTAAGATTCTGTAACACTTAAGCCAATAATTTAAGAATAAAATACGTCACACGTCTTTATTTCCAATATATACTGTACATGGGTTCTTTTGATGTTGTGCAAATGGGCCACAGTCAGATAACAAAAGACATTTAGCATTCCACATCGGACAAGACAAGAAATTTAGTCTGCGTAAAATTTGCATTTTAAAATTGACGATTTATTCCCTACCTATATAATTTTTGATCTTTAAATAATTAAGATTCCCTTCCCTTCATCGAAAACATTCATTAAAGCCAGAAATGATTGATTATACACGTACAAGATGTAGATTTATCAACCAATCACAAATTCACAAAAAGAATCTTATTGTAGCACAATAAAGTTTGTTCAAGTAGCTTCTTGCTTTCGTTTTTGGGATCATAAAGAATTTCAATGGTCTTACCTATAAGAGACTAAAAAATTTTATCAATAAATCACTCAGATAGCTTCAATCACGATAACCCCTGAGAGAAGTTAGTGTTGATTCATTTATAAATCACCCATTGCCAATTAGTACTAGATAAACCCCAGAAAAAGAACTTTTTATCATGTCAGCAGAAATAGCCACACCCGCACAACTCGATGTTGTAGAGGTTAAAAAACATACAACAAGTGGTGTTAAATCTTTCCTAGCGGGTGGGTTCGGTGGGGTTGCATGTGTCCTTGTTGGTAAGTACTATTTACTCATTAAACAACAAACTATCTAATAGGTCAGACTAAAATACATAATCATATGAACAATTTCTTTTTTTTTAGGTCAACCATTCGATTTGATCAAGGTAAGTCTGTCTAAATTTGGATTCATTTATAATGTAAATGAATTCATAACTTTAATTGTTCTTTGTAGGTTCGGTTGCAAACAGCTCCTGAAGGAGCATATATAGGAATGGCTGATGCAACAAGACAAATCCTTGTTAAGGATGGGTTACGTGGGTATGTTAACTTTTTTGTTCCACTCTTTTATGTATCTTTAATCGTGCCCACCGAAAATAACTTTCACGTGTTCATAGTTTGTACAGGGGTATGGGACCTCCATTGGTGGGAATCACACCAATTTTCGCAATAAGTTTTTGGGTAAGTTTATTTATGAACGATTATTATTTATTTATTTTATTGATCTCACGTTTACATCACGATTAATCGAACATGTTTTGTAGTCTTACAACCTTGGTAAGAAAGTCGTCATGTCAGCGAATCCCAATCGCTCTTCTCAAGAGTTAAGTATTGGAGAAATTATGATTGCTGGCGGATTATCGGCAGGACCAACCACATTGATAATGTCACCAGTTGAGAGAGTAAAAGTTTTATTACAAATTCAAGGTCAAGGAGGTGTAAATAAATACAAAGGACCAATTGATGTAGTGAGACAACTTTATAAGGAAGGAGGTTTGGGCAGTATTTATCGCGGATTTGGAGCTACATTAGCACGGGATGGTCCAGGATCGGCTGTTTATTATGGAGCATATGAGGCTACCAAGAGATTTTTGACGCCCGCAAATGCTTCTCCTGATTCCTTGAACCCTGCAGCCATTTTATTTGCTGGTGGTAACGTATCTTTACATTAATAATAATATTTTATAAAGTGAGAGATCTTAGACAGACCTTTAATTTCTTTAATACTTTCCTTTAGGTATGGCGGGAGTTGCTATGTGGGCAATTGCTATTCCACCAGATGTTATTAAATCTCGATTACAAACAGCTCCGCCTGGTACCTATAAAAATGCTCTTGATTGTTTGCGTAAAACGATCGCACAGGATGGTACAAAAGCATTATTCAAAGGTCTCGGACCAGCTTTATTTAGAGCCTTTCCGGCTAATGCGGCAACGTTTTTGGGTTATGAAGCTAGTTTAAAGCTCATGAATTTGCTCTGGTAGACTTAAATGCAGTATATTGCTTTATTATATATAATCTTAAAATAAATTTCTTTGCATGATTGATTACTTTTTAATATTAAAATTATTTTTATTGAATATACATGTCATAATATAAATTAAAGAATGAGTCATTAATTTGTCATCACGCTAGTTCAGGGTTACGTTGACAATTGATTGTAGTACAATGATCAAATTGATTTTTTGTACTCCCAAGAAATTTATAAATATGATAAATTATGATTTGTTTTCTTGACTGAAACTCTCTTTTCAATTCCCTTTTTAATTTATTATTTTTCTTTGCTTAAATTATTTATCATGGTAAAGTGCACATTAATTTTGATATAGATTTATAATTTCGAACTTTTTTTTTCAGAACTGGGTAGATCTAATTCCTTTATATATATATATATAGTATGCAGGTTTTGACGAGGTTGGGTTTGGATTTGGAGTACCAATGCATCAACATCCAAATCATAGTTTCTCCGAGATGTATCGATGCTATTCAGTAACTTTGATGCAAGGGAATGAAAGGCAGAATGTTAATTTTGGTGGAAAAAGTAAGGAATAAAGTGTAAAATATGACGTAAAAATTCATTGAGACGAAAATTGATTAAACAATACTTTTTTTCATTAGTTATCTTACCACCTTCAGCACTAGCAAAACTAGGTGAGATTTTCGAACTATTCATTACACGTAGAATATATTTATTAATCGTGTTCCGTTTATTTTCTTTCGATTTATAGCTAGTTTGGAAATAGAATATCCTATGTTGTTTGAATTACGTAATAAAGAAGAACAAAGACATTCGCACGCTGGAGTTCTTGAATTCATTGCGGAAGAAGGTCGTGTTTATTTACCTTATTGGGTAAGAAATTTTACCTTTTTGCCTGAATGTTCGTTGTATCAAATGTATTTAATACAATTAAACATTTTCTTTATAGATGATGCAAACTTTGCTGTTGGAACAAGGAGACTTTATTGAAATAAAAAGCGCAGAATTGCCTTTAGGTACCTTTGTAAAGATCCAACCACAAACTGTTGATTTCTTGGATATAAGTGATCCGAAAGCTGTGTAAATATATATTTATTTTAAAAAAAGTTTCTTATATATGGAAATAGTCTTTATCTTAATAACATTTGTATTTGCACTTATTGGATTTAGGCTGGAAAATGCGTTTCGAAATTTCTCAACGTTGACACAAGGGGACGTTATCCAAATAAATTATAATAATAAAATTTATGAGATTTTGGTATTAGAAGTTAGACCTGGTAATATTGTGCCTGATAATAATGGTATTTCAATTGTTGAAACAGATTTGGAGGTCAGTATTTCTTTCCTTTTTTTTTAAAAAAAAAAAATCCTCTAAATTTTCAATAGATCCTACATTTAAAAAAATTTTTACTCGATTAGGTTGATTTTGCGCCACCAGTGGGTTACGTAGAACCAAAACCACAACCAAAACCATCAATGGTTAGTTTACAAAAGAAATTTTTACCGGGGAAAAAAAACACATTATTGATTATTTATTAAAAAAATAGGCTAATAAGATAAAAATAGAAGATCCTCTTACGGATACAAAAGGATTTTCGGCTTTCCAGGGAAGCGGACAGCGGTTGAATGGAAAAGTCGTAAAATCGTCTTCATCTACAGCTTCAGGTTCAAATGGTACACTTACTGCAAAATTAAAAGAGACAAGTGAAAATGATGACGTTCCTGCACCGTTGAATTTACCGTTTGGCAAATTGTTCTTTGGGTATATATTACGTCCTCCGAAAACGGAGGCGGGATCAAGTCAACCATCATCTACATTTGATGGTAAAGGTTATTCTTTGAAATAAGTTCAGGAAAGATTATTTAAGAAAAGCCTAATATTTTTTTTTTTAACATAATATTTTTTGATAAATTTAATTCTTCGACTCATAGAAGAGAAAGGTCTATTGCAAAATAACGATTAATTTGGATTATTATAATGTATTATAATAGTATATAACAAAGCACATTTGGTCATTTAATTGTTGTTCATTTATAAAAAAAAATTCATTTATTCAGAAGATAATTTTAATATTAAACAATTGCATTTTCCCTTTATATATACACATTAAAATTATCTTTATAAGATAAAATAAATACAGTATATTTGTGAAAAAAAAAAGATAAAAGTATTAATATCAAAAATTATGTTTATAGTATAAAGATATATTTGATATTATTTTTTAAAGTATAATATAGTTAAACCTTTATAATATATTTTTTTAAATGCAAAAATTTTTTTTCTTAAAAATTTTTTATTAAGTTTCAAAATTATCTAAGGGAATAAATAATACATTTAAAAAGATTTGCTATAAATAAAATTGAATTATTTATATAAAAAAATGGTAAAAAAATTTTTTTTAATCATAATTAATTTAAAATATAATATTTTATAGTTATTGTATAATTCATAAGATCATGTTTTATAAAAAAAAAAAAAAAATCAAACCAATATAAATATAAAATAATAGCATTTATAAAAAAAATATTATTATTATTTAATTTTTAAATTACTACTAAATAATAACTTATGATTTTTAAGCAAAATTTTAGTTAAAATTATTTTTTTGAAATAGAAATATAATAAAAAAAATCGATAAAAGAATGTTATTAGGCTATATCAAATAGATCATCTGTTTAATATCATCATATAACATTTATAATTCAAGGAGAAGGGGAGAGGTTAATTAATAATAAAGATAATTTGACTATCACATGATACTTTTATCAAAATTCTTTATTTATATATTAGATTTAATCCTGTACATATTAAGTTAGTTTGCTATGTTTTTGAATTTGATTTAAATTATTATTAGAACTTCTTTTTTTACTTCCAGATTTCTTATTTATTTTAATTTCAACTCTACAGAAAAAATCCTTTCCTTTTTCTAAACACCAACAACAATATGGAAATACAAATTTATAGTTGGATGTCTTATTAATAGGAGGTTCAACAGAACTACCATTAACTCTGCACCAATAGCAAATTTGTGAATTATAATTACTTCAACATAAATAGAAGAATAATAAGTTAATTCAATCAATATTTCATAAGTAATCTTTTCATGTACAAAAATTTTAGTATAGAATTTGTGATCTCTTTCAACTAATAAAGAACTGCAGCTATAATTTATTTCTTCTTTTATAAAGTATAATTCCTCTTTTTCATTAGTATTCTTGATTGCTAAATACACAACAAAGCTTATCACATTGGAAGCATTCAATATAATTACGCACTTTGATATTTACAAAAAGTCCATTTAGTATCTGTTCTGCTAATTTTACAGTTTGTATTAATATAGGGTAATGTTCTTCAGTTATTGCACTATGGTATACTGTATAAAAGTCTGCATAATGATTATAATTTTCTAAACTAATAAAATAAAAATTAATAGATAGTTTTTATATCATTTATATTTAAAATAAAATAAAATATCAGTACTGGTTGATGGAGTTGAATCTGGCAAAAAGTTCAACATTGCAAAAACTGTAAAAATCATATAACCTTACAAATAGTACATATGGGTTAGTACGTACAAAAATCAGGTTTTGATCATATGATTTATATAGTTCTGCAGCATGATTTTCATATGTACTAACCCATATAATATTGTTACATTTTTTTATCTGTTTATAAATAAAGTATTGATATTAAAATAATAATAAATTAAATATTCTGATTTAAAGAAAATATAAAATAACATACTTGAAATAAATAGTTTCGTTTATGATAATGGGTTTTAAAAATTTTGGAAATAATTCTTTCTTTGAAAGAATATTTGTAGATATTTCATTTATATTTAAGGATCTATTAACTGTTAATATAATCTAAAAAAAATAATTGAGCTTAATATATTTCTTAATTATTTATAAATTAAACAAATTTACTTACTTGAAAAAATAAAGAAATCTCAGATTCATCAGCCAGATCATAACAAAAAAATAGTTCATTATACAAAACCAGCTGTTCTGTTCTTTCTTATAAAAATTTCTGAATAGTAACAATGCAATTCTGCAATTTGCTAGCCAATTGTAAGGATTTTTCAGCAACTTTACAAATTTCTTTAAAAGTATTTGCTTTATTAAACAAGACTTTTATATCTTTTGACATTATTTCACGAACTAAAGCCACTTCCTGTAATGTAAATTCAAAATTGACATAATTCTTTCAGCAGGGATTATTCCAACTTTGATAAGATGCTATTCTTAATGCTATAAGCATATCAAAGTCTTCTTTAAGAAATAAGTAAATTAAAGATATTTGAATTGATCCATATGTAACTCAGTGGTTAGGACAGTCAGGATCTCTATCAGTATAAAGGCAGAGAATCAGAGAAACTGAAGATTGATAATATGAAAAAATAACTTTAAAAAATTCTGTTATATGTCTAATACCATTACTTGGTTGAAAAGTAGTATCTTTAAAAGAAACAAAAACTTTTCTACTATAAAATGACTATTCAATACTTTTAGAAACTTCACAAAAAAAGATAACTGAAGGTGTTAAACATAGCTTTGTAAAGTTATGGTCACAAGCAGAAAGATCTACATCTTGTAAAACCATAGACTTTTTATTACACACTCCAGTTGATGTAGCAACATTTTCTCCAATTGGAACTTTGTGTTTATTATCAGCACAAATAAAAGAAATATAATTTCAAAAGAGAATGGCAAATTTACATAAATATCAAAATAATAAGTATAATAGTATGAATCAGGATAATCTTTACGCAAAAGAGTTATATTTTAAAATTATTTTAAATTGACCAGTATAATGAATTGCTTTAGCTGCAGTCAGATTAGTAGGTGAAAGTTGCACTCAAATCCATTTTTCACAAGAAATATTAATTTGAAGAGGAAGGGGATTTCTATATTTTTTTTAAGTCTTTGAATTATACAATCATAAAAATCTCGAATAGATATTACTAATGGTTTGTAAAAAGGCTGTGATTGCAATGGTCATTTATTCAGCATTTATCTAAAAAATAAATAATATTTAGTTAATATAAATAATAAAATATATAATAAAGTTAATAATATTACCTCATTAAAATATGCATCTAGTTCATTTCAAAAGCAATTAAATTTAATTTCCTTAATCTCGTTATTAATTTTCATATCAACAATAATCGAAGGATTTTCAAATATCAACATCATTTTTAATCTTTCTTCAATTTCTTTACTAATAATATCATTAGTTATAACAGCATCACCTGTTAAATCATAAAAAAGAACTCTCAAAATTGCTGATGTAATAGTTTTAACTAATAAATACTATATTTAATTTTAAAACATATTATAAGTATATATTAATTAATTAATTAATATTAAGTAAATTAATAATCACGTAAATTGATAAATACTATGATCACTTACTTTATAAAGAACATTTTTACGCATTTATCTAGTAAAATATTTAGGTAATAAACTCTGAATGCTTGCCATTGTTTGCACTAATTTTATTTCATTTCTATCATCTGGAGAAATTAGAATTTTCCATATATAATTTAAAGTTCTTAAATAATTTCCTTGATGATATCAATAAATAGTTACAGAAATATCAAGTCATAAGTTTTTAATATAATCATATTGTTTGCATGTATCCTTTAGTGAATAATGTTTCATATTGATAAAATCATATTTATCTTTTAAAATTAAAGCATACAATAACTCTTCATAAATTTCTTTTATATTATCAGAACTAGTCACATGTGACTTACATGATATAATCATATTATGTAAGTCACATGTGACTTGGATTAGATTATGAAGGTAACTTCATAGTCTGCTGGTATCTTCATAACATAATAGTTACTTCATAGTCTGCTGATATCTTCATAACATAATGATAGAGCTCTGAACAGATCTGGTCAGATCAGGTAATTGACAGGACCTGACCTAATAAGGTCAGGTCAGGTCAGACATAAAATTGACCTGAATTAAATATATGGGAGGCAGTCAGTAGAAAAGGGGGAAATCCAAATTTTGGTCAAAATTTTTTTAATTAGTTCACTTCACTG